CGGACTCTAATGCACACACTAGGACAACAATATCCCAATGTTTTTTATACAAACCTGGAGACATACCATCCGGCCCGGGAACCTTCGTTGGATGCATTTGGAAAAGGGCATGCTTTATCTCATCATCCTCAAATGGACACGTTAGTTCCGCATTCATACTCTCTGTGACCCTTGGTTGAATAAATTGTAATATTTCCTCTCCATTCGATGGTCCCTCGGAATCAAAAAGTGTCGTAAAATAACTCAGAATTACCTCTTCCATGCCTGCCTTATTGTCACGCCATATCCCCATTTCATCAAACAAACTAGTCAAGCAATTTCCCTGAGATCTTTTAGTTGCTTTTTGGTGGAAATATCTAATGTTCTGATCCCCTAGTCGCAACCAATTTTCTCTAGAGCGTTGTTGCCAAAATGCTTCTTCCTGCCTAACAAAGAATAAAGTTTATTATAAAGGACTTGTTTCTATGCAATCGATGTTTCGGTGAACAGTTGTCCAAATAAACTATTTAGCTTATCCTCCGTTGCTGCAATCTCACCCGGAATAGATCGTTCGTTGTTCTTAGCCCACTTTAACAATTCCACTCTAGTAGTTTTCATTTTCTTTGTAATTTGATGCATAGGTGACCCAAAGAATTCCAAACTCCACCCCACCTTCACTGTTTCCTGACACCCCTCATTTGCCATCCATCCGTCTTTAAACCGGAATGTTTTCTTAAACTTTGCACGCTTTCGAACTTCCCATTCCAACATAATAGGGATATGGTCCGATGATGTGGGATTAAGGTGCACTACACGGAAAGTAAGGAAGAGATCAACCCAATTCTGGTTAGCCAAACTCGATCAAGTCAAACTTTTATCACCCCTCCCTTTCTTGTTTCCCAAGTGAATTTGTTCCCTGTATACCCAAGATCAAGGAATTGACACTTCTCCACAATCTCCCCGAAGCCTGTCATTTGTCTCTCACTTCTTTGGTCTCTGCCTTCTTGCTCGTCAGTTTTTAAAATTTCATTAAAATCACCAACACAAACCCACGACAATTCCTACTTATGCAACTCATTGCTCTCGGCAGGGCTAAGCCTTGTCAGCCGCCGTCGCTGTAGAATACATAGAATCTCTAGAGAAAGCCCTCTGTTTTCTTGCATGATCACCACGTCCCTCCAAGTCCTTGTCGCGTGCACTCTGCTTACCGAGTTCAGGGAGATGTCGTTTGCGTCTACTTGTTTTCTTTCGACTCATGTTTTTCCCACCTCCACGTCTCATAAATGTTTCCCCTAGGCTTGATTGATTCCCATAAATGAATGGATCCAAATTAAATGGATCCGATCCTAAGGAAAGTGTCGTCTCTGTGTTATAAGTTCCTTGCCATGAAACAAATCATTTTGTTGGTCTTCATTCTCCACCAGTTAGTTCCTCCCACGTGGCATGTGATTGACTTTCCAAGACTTGATTTCCAAAATCTTGACCCCACTCATACCATCCTCAAACTTCCCTGAAAATTTGGATACCATGTCTTCTGTTATTAGTAGGCCTTGGACTAATCCGCTATACCATGAATAAATTAGAGGACAGAGACCTCTGTACTGCCACCTCTAAAAAGCACACAAGTCTCACGATGCCCTCATAGGGTTTCCTAGAGGTCGATCTGAGTTATTGGTAATTCGTATTCTATATGCAAAGAAGTGTTGCCCTTGGCTGACTTCTGCCCTCTATATACCCTTTTAAAATAAGGAAAACTAATGAAAAAAGCTTGAAAATTTTTAGTTTTAATAAAAAAAATCATGTTATAAGTTTTGTTTAATGATTAGTACAAGACTCATATTAAAGTAGTCTAACTAAAAATGGTCCAACTATAATAAATTATGATTTGTTGGTTTTACCCCTAACTTTTTTAGGTTGAGTTCCAAATTTTCATCGTTAATGGAGTTCATCGTTGTTTTGCAGATGATAGAATTTTTACCACCTACAAAAGTAGGGATAAAAACACATGAAATACTTCCAAGAATACAAAAATTGGGTAATATTAAAAAAGAATTTTAATTAAAAACTAATATGACAAAAGAAAAGACTTTTAAATATCAATTTATAAAAGACTAGGGTTTCACCATCACCTAGCAATCCTATAAATTTATACCAATTACTTATGATTTACACATACCACTTTGAAGGTTAGGTTTTCTTAATTTATATTCTACTTGGAACCTCTAATATAGAACGTATATCTAATATGCAACCTGTTCGAACGTTCGGATCAAATCTGAACATGAAAGACTCATTATGTTTTATGAAAACCCCTTGAAAAACTATGCAACCCTTAAGACGTGGTGTTCATCTTAAGTAAAATTACAATTATTAATCACAAGAAGCTAGTGTCAATTTCAGTGAACCTTGACCAAAATTGCATCAAATTACTTTTCTAAAGATCCTAATGATGATCAGGCATTAAGACAATTAGATAGTTTTAATCACGGTGATTAATAATTCAAAGTATGCATGCAATCAATCATAAATAATTAAATAAAAATCACATATTCATGCTAAGGCTCAAGGCTTCACCCTAGTAAAAGGAATTAGTTACCCATATGAAGAAAATATTATTAAGAATAAAAGGAATAAAAACACCTTAAAATAGAAAATCTCCAAGAACCCTAGCAATTACTCTCTATCTCCAAAGTTGCATAAAAGAAAGCGCCACCACCACCCCCCACCCCGCCCCCCCCCCCCCCCCCCCCCCCAAAAAAAAAAGGCTTAAGACCAGCCAAGCAATATATTTGCTAAGCCATCGCACAACCCTAAGACGTAGGTCTCTTATTCCAACTAGGAAACTAAATAATAATAAAATAACTTAGAAAATAAAGTCATAATTAAGTTAGGAGAATCTGCCAAGTACTTGTCCAGCCATGTTTTAGCCTCAAATCTCCTCCAAATCTGGTCCAAGATTGCTTGTTTTAAAGATTAGGACGTTATGAACACATTTCCAGTGGGCCACGAACTCATCCAAGGTCATCTTGGGCTCCAAAAACATCACTATTCTAGCACTGCACACTGCTCCTTTATTCTATTGCTAGAAAATAAACACTTGGTGGGAAAATATGATATTTTGATATGATCAAGCTAAATGACTCACGAACGTCCTCCAACTGGAATTACTCCAAATTTCATCTATTTGGTCCTGTTTTGCTCCAGAGGAAGTCGAAAGTCCTATATAAAAAAATACAAATCAAAGTATCAAAATTCTTCCAAAATATTAACCAAAATACACTAAGAATAGGGTTAAATATATAATATAAAATCTACTCATCAACAATCATTCTCCTTTTTCTTTGAAACAAAAATATAGATACTCATGCTATTTAATTTATATTTTGTATTATTTCCTTGAAATGTGATCGTCGTTATTATTCATAGTGTATTCGACATACTGTATTCGACATACTGTTTTTCAATCTTTCATCGTTAATGGAGTTCATCGTTTGTTTCTCCAAAAAATAAATATGAGATCTGCATGCTATTCAATAATAAGGACGGGTCACTGTTTCTAGACTGTAAAAATAAACTATTTCTGGATTTTAAGTAACACTGTTTCTGGAATCTAAGTTACTGTTTCGGGAATCTAAGTCACTGTTTCTGGAATCTAAGTCGCTGTTTCAGGATCCAAATGAAATAGACACCTTGTTTTTTAAATGTAAGCTAGAAAAGAAATAGTGAAATTCACTATATTTGGATTCAAAGCAAAATAAGCACTCTGTTTCTTGAATATAATCAACCGATGCATGAAACAAAAGAAATAGTCAAAGGTTAAAACATAGATTGTTTTTGGAACTAAGTCACTGTTTCGTTTCTGGAATCTAAGTCACTGTTTCTGAATTTTGGTTTTTTTCTTTCCAGATATAGTGTTTGTTTGTGCACAGACAAAACAACCATTGTATTTGATTTTTTTTCCAAAAACAGTTTTATGTTTTTTTTTTCTTTCTTTTTCCAGACACTTTTTCGCTGGTTTCTGCCATTAAACTTCTTTGAACTTGTTTCGGCGACATTGTTTTGATGAATGCTTCATTTTTCAACTTATTATGACGGTTTCGTGTTGGGTTGAGGTTGGTGAAGAGTCAAGACAATATCAAATCATTTAGGAGTATTTACAGAAGTGTAGATTTGTAATGGGTTGGGCTTGTAAGTTTGACCCGTGAACAATAGTTTTGAATGATTTTTTATTAAACTTTGAGCCATTTTGGTTAAATAACATTTTGGGATGGTTTTTTATTAAATATTTGTTGGTCCAAGTCCTTTTCATTAAAGCTCCCTTTAAAATATTCTAAATAACTATCAATGTTTTAAAAGTTGGACATTTGTTAGCTTACCAGTATTAAGTGATTACCTAAACAAGTTTTGAAGCGGGATTTAGTACTCTATAGGTGACGTGTTAGTGAAAACTATCTTTAATGTTTGTTCACACTATCATTTAACATTAACAATATCAACAATTAACATAAGTACTATCATCACTTAAAGCTGGTGACCTAACAATTGTAATATTCAAAGAAAATAAAAGAAATAATATTCAAAGAAAAACCTTATTAAACTATCTAATACTTAAGATAGCAAAAGCCAGGTGCTCACCACCATGACTAAAGTGTTAACAGTCAGTGAGCTCGTTGATCAATTTTGGGATCCACAGGTACCAACAGTGTTTTAGTTTAGTTGGACCTCCCTCACCATAACAATAAGCGTGCGGGATTTTCCATTGAAGCCTTGTGTCTCCCCAGTTACTATCTTCGAGAGAAATTACTGTTTGAACCCAAATTAACATTCAACTTCTTTTCGCCTCAATAAAACATTTATCTTCGTTATCGACATTCTCAAGCAAACATCTTCTCAGCATAACAAACGAAGAAATTCAAATACCTCAAGTTAATGAAGGACTATACCCATCATATCCAGGTTGCTTGATATGGCCTAAACGAAACTCTGAGGGGAGAACCCTTTCGAGAACAAACAATTTGAGATAACCAACAGTAAAGGCCAATGTTTATATGGATCATATTCGGCATGTTCATGATTCCCTTACACATCACAGAACATCGCTGAACTACATGTCAGTTGCGAGGTCAGGGCTGACAATATGCCAACTTGAATCTTGAAAACAACCAAAATAATCAATCCAAAACTGCCTTAATTTGTTTCTTCCATCATCAATAAAATTTCTCGATACCAATCAAATAATCATAATCTGCTCAACTGCAGCTCTGTCTCAAGGACGGGGCTGAAAAAATGCCAACTTGAATCATGAAAAGCACCAAAATAATCATCGGAAACTGTCTTAATTTTAAACTCATCTGTGAATTTTCGAGCAGCCAAGATACGGGTTGTGGAATCGACAATGGCTGAGTTCTTAAACTCTGACAGGTGATGCTCATACGTATCAAAGCTATTCCCAAACAATACAATGCAATCCAACAGCTGCACTTCCCAATTCGCCTGCAGAAGATTATCATACAACTCTGCCTCACAATGTGGCATGAAGAACATCATCGGCTTTTGAGCCCGACGCCGGCCTTGCTCGTTTATAGACAGCACAGAGCAGCCAAGAGCTTCCAAAACACGAGTTTCGGTGGCAGAAAGAACAGGATCAAACACCTCTATATCTCCAATCCAACTGACATTTCTCTTCAGCAAGATCGCAAGGCTCAACTGCAATCGAGGTGACTCGTAGGTCTCAAGGCTGCCAATTCCATAGATCACCACGTTCATCTTTGATTTAGAGCTCAAAACCCTATGGAAGCAATTCGTCAGTTCCGGAGTTCCAATTTGATCCAGTAAATTGAGAAAGAACTGAGACATCTCCAATTTCTTCATACAGATCTGCATCTTCTGCATCAGTTTTGATTCTCGGACAAAATTGATTTCGAAATCAGTTGGAGCCCAAGGCTCCTGCTGCTGTTGCTGTAGCTTTTGCGCTAGGGTTGGCATTCTGGGCGTGTTTCTTCTTTTGACTCCACGACGAGATGAAACGACTGTCCACTCCCCGTTTAAAGTATGGTCCTCAGCAGTCAGAGGTTTTGCAGAAGCTGCCATTGCAATCCAAGAAACCTTCAGTTCTCACACTTCTTTGATGAGTCTGTATAGTATTCAGGAAGGTAATACTGTCACAATTTGCACAAAAAACTACATTAGTTCAACTGTTCAAGTGGTGGTGATGGCAAATTGTGGTAGAAGGAGGGCATAATTAGTAAAACCACCCTATCAAATACACTTTTAAGAAAATGAAAAACGAAATAAAACCCATCAAGAGTCAAAATTGGAGGAAACAAAGAAACCCACTCCATTATCTCTAACTAATTTTTAGAGCGCGGAATTTCTTTTTTCCCTTCTCTAATGAAAAAGAGGACTCTTTAATCTATTTTATGAACACAATAATAATTTTTGGTGGGTGTTTGTGGTTAGGATTATAGAAATTTGTTCACGTCCCAAACAGTTGTATTTACCATCTCTCAGCTCCCATCTCATCTTCCCCAACCCACCCGAAATTGCAAGAAAAAAGAATGTTAAATTCTCCACCAGGGCAATACAATATTTAGATGGGAAGGTTTATATTACACCTATAATCGAATTCTTCTCCTTAATAATCATATTTTTCAGTATTATTACAATCCTATTAATTTCCCTTGAATTTGAATGAAGATCTTGATCTTAGGCAGCATTATGCATAGGGCAACTTCTATAGGGCAATGGCCATCCGAGGAGGAGAAATTAGCAAACCCAATTTTGAAAAGAGTCAAGAATCTTAACCAATTAATTAATAAACCCAAGTTTAAACTGACATGAGAACTCCAAAATATACAGTTCAAACCTCAAGGTTTGCTCTTTTATACACATGTAATGAATTCGACATATGCCCAGTGCCTTAGATCGTTCCAAATTTATATTAATTTTTCAAATTACTTTTTATCATCGACAGAAGTCATTCATTATTGAGAATACATTGCACATCAACATTCAATAAAGATGCAGTATCGAAACCGAACGGTATTGCAAGAGAAAATGAACAGTGAGAGTACCGTAGGGTGTATTGCAAGACAATACGAACAGTGAGAGAGGATTCGCACCAACCCACGACGAGACAAAGGGGAAGAGAGGGGGTGGACGTCGCCGTCGCCGTCGCGGTGGTCGTTCGTGTTCGTCGCTTGTGGTAGTGGAGGTGGTTGGTTAGCGCGGCGTGGGTGATCCAAGTCCGATGGGAGAGAAGATGAGGACTTTAGGTTTTGAAGAATTGGGTTCGTGGTTAATTATTGACCTGAATTTTATATGGATTTTACATGAAAAACCCAAATGACTAACCTTTTGTTTTTTGGAGAAAAGGATATACGAAGACCATCCAACAAATTTGGGCGCCAACTTCTCCCCGCACAAATTGCGTGACGACTCTACGTGACGCTGAAATGCGGTATTTATTACAGGTTTTAACGAAACATTTTTGTTTCTGTTGATTTTTAACAAAAAATTACATTTTTACATTTACTTGATACTATTCACTCTATCTTTATTTTTCATTAAAATTAAAGTGTTTTTTAGATTTTTCGTTAATCTTCCTTATTTATTATTATCTTCTAGTGTTACCTTTCTTTACTTAAAGTTACAAATAGGAGATTTTATGTTTGAATCTTATAGATAGCGATAACTAATTTATTTTTCTGCCCCTTAATTTAAGTATATCATTGTTCCAAGATGTTAATGCTCAAAATTGTAAGGTTAATAAACTTAATTAAATGAATGTAGATAAGCTCAAGAGATAGACTGAAATTAAATGGACTCGAAGATGTAAGTGGTTTACTTCTAAAAATTAGGCCGCATCTACTGTGTATATTGATTTCAAGGTTAAATAATGCTCGGCTAATAGATTTACTCTATCTTTTCTGATTCATCTGACCCTCATAATGGAGGTATCTACACCCTCTTATATAACCCACACCCTCTTAAGGCATCTCAAACTGGCATTTAATGTGCCAACCACTTGTACAAGCTTACCGACAACTTTTCACCTATCTGCCCAGGCTGTTGTCAGGGAAGTGACTTTCTAACAGTCAAATGGCACATCTTTTAAGACCCAGGTGGTCAACGAGCACTGCCTTGACTGCGTTTATGTCCCATCCTAGGTCGCTGTTGTTATTCGCACGTTGCTGTATAGCATTAGTAGCACTTAAGTAGTTCTATCCTTAGAGACTTGTGCCATAAAGTTGTCAGTGCACCCACGTGTTCTGCGCAGTTGGGTAGTCATCCTTTTGTCTTGGTCAGCCTGAACACTCGAGAGTCGATCCTATTCAAACTCTTTGACCTTGGGCTTCTTGGCCTTTTCTTGGGCTTATATCGTTCGGTATGCCTAAATGGGCCCATCGTTAACACAAGAAAACTATAAATTATTTTGAGGTCTCACTATAGACTAATTCATGAATTTCCTCACATAAGTTTTAGGCGTCACGTAAGTCTCATTTCCTTATAGATATAGTGTCAGGCCAATGACAGGACAACAAGTTTTTTAAATATGATGCATGTAGCCACTTAGTACTACGGTCTAATGGTATTTCTCTTACTTGTAAGTGAGAGGTCTTATGTTCGATTTATGGCAAGTCCATTGTAAGGCTTAGTCCACTCTCCTACCCTCTTAGTGTAGATACTAACATTTGTTCAAAAAAAAAAAATATATATATATATATATATATATATATGATGCATGTCAACAAGTGGCTTAGATTAAAAGGTTATTTGCATTATTTCAAAGGAGCTTCAATGAAAAGCTCTTAGGCTATCTCCAATGAAGATGGTTAAAAGGCTATACGCTACAAAAATGACCCGTTTGGTAAAAAACCTTTCTCCAATGGAGGGTTAGGCCAAAAATGTGTGAAACCCACCTGGCCAAATGTTGGCCAAAAAGTTAACGGGCTGGCTACTTCCAACCCGATTTTCGGGGCCTATTTGCCATCCTCCAGTTGTTGACATCAGCATGCAGAGGCTAGCTAATGTCATTTAGCCGTTGAATTTTTTTTTTCTCAGACGAAATTTGAAAAAAAAAATAAAAATTCTAATTTTATTTTATTTTTATAAACACTTATGCCATTTCTACACTATTTCTCACATCTTTTTCACCTTTACGTACTATCCTACCTCACTTTATTCCAAGTTTTCACATTCTATTCACCTCAAACACTCTTTTCATACACACCCCAAAAACTCTTTTCAAATGGCCAATTTTCAACCAAAGGTAAGAAATATTATTAAGATTACATAAAGATAAAAAAATTTTTGGAGAGTTACTTATTTAGTGACACGTGACATTCGAAATCCTATCTGTCACATTCCCGCCCAGGCCTCGACCACATCCCGGGCTCGACTTCACCATAGCACGATATTGTCCGCTTTGGGCCCCGACCACGCCCTCACGGTTTGGGCCCCTACCACATCCCTGGCTCAACTCCACCATATCATGATATTGTCCGTTTTGGGCCCCGACCATGCCCTCATGGTTTTGTTTCTAGGAACTTACACGAGAACTTCCAAGTGGGTCACCCATCATGGGAGTGCTCTCATGCGCTACTCGCTTAACTTCGAAGTTCCTACGGAACCCGAAGCCAGTGAGCTCCCAAAAGGTCTCGTGCTAGGTAGAGATGAGAATATACAGATAAGGCATAGAGGATCCACTCCCCTGAGAGATGTGGGATGTTACAATCCACCCCCCTTAAGGGACCGACGTCCTCGTTGGCACACGCGAGGCTAGGTTAGGCTCTAATACCAAATGTCATATCCTGACCCGGGCCCCCACAACATCCCGGGCTCGACTCCACCATAGCACAATATTGTCCGCTTTGGGCCTCGACCACACCTTCACGGTTTTGTTTCTGAGAACACACACAAGAACTTCCCAGTGGGTCACCCATCATAGGAGTGCTCTCATGCGCTACTCGCTTAACTTTGGAGTTCCCATGGAACCCGAAGCCAGTGAGCTCCCAAAAGGCCTCGTGCTAGGTAGAGATGGAATATACATATAAGGCATAGGGAATCCACTCCCTGGACAATGTGGGATGTTACACTATCCGAAAAATTATTGAGATTATATAAAGATAAGAAATCTAAAGGCAGGCTAATTTATTAGTGACAAGTAGCACTCAAGCTATGTTCGGATAACCTTATTGTAATATGATATTTTAATTCAATTAACCAATAAAGTTAAAGAACAAACTTAAAAATAATAAATTTTGAGAGGCCATGTTTTAGCCATTTCAGTAGGAGATGGTATATAAATATAGCCTGACACTATTCATTTTAAAATAATTTCATAAAGAGCTATAATTATGGACGGAGTTATGTGTATCTATTTCGATAGGAAATGGTTAAGATTGAAATACTAAGGACAAAAAAGGTGGTGGCATTTTCGTAAATAAGTTAAATTTTAGTGGCAATATCGTAAATAAGTTGAAGTTAAGAAGAAGTGGCGATATTATTTTTGTAAATAAGTTGAAGTTTAAAGCTTGTGTATAAACAATCGACCTAATCGTGTATAAACAATCGGAGCCACCAAGTTTTAACTTATTTACAAAAATGCCATTGCTAATATTTTCCTTTTTTGTTTTTTTTAATGTTCATTAAATGTTTTTAGTTGAAAATAAAAAAAAAAATTCAGACCCTTTCATTAGTTTTTCCTATTTCAAACATCTGATATCAGGTATTTTATTGATTTTTTCTTGATCTTATTCCTAAACTATAACTTTAATATTGGTTGTTTAAGTCCTCAAATTATACAATGTGATTGCACTTGTAGTCCTTTTTGCTAATTCCGTCAATTTCCTGTTAACTTGAGGGTAAAGTAGGAATTTTGTTAAATGAGAAACTATCAATAGTGTTTAGAGACCATAACTAAACTAGTGGTATAGTTCGAGACCAATGCTACAATTTAGCCAAAATAATAATTGGAGCAAGATATTCAATCTTTCCCTTGTTGATGCATTTTGCTTCGCTTTATAGAAGAGAGAGATTGTTTCCTAGTAAGTGCAAGCAACGAAAATGATAGTCCCTTGCGCGTTCACGCGAACTACTAAAAAATGGTGAGATTATTAGTTAAAGAATAAAGTCTCCCTTGTAGCATCAAACTTACTACAAATTGATTGTCAAAAAAATTGGGTCATGTTTTCACAAATGTTCATGGAGTTCTTCCAAAATACACATAATGCACTCAAAAATGACATTGACAATATCATGCAAATTCAACATAAAACTATTATTGGTAAATAATTAGGCGTTCATAATATCATTTTTGGAAAGACCCTGTTAATGCTAACGAACTCATTATGAGAATTCAATAAAAACTAGTTGGCTAAAAAGCTAATACTTTCTCTAGAGATGGTAGACTTACTCTTATTAAGTCTAGTATAGCTAGAATGCCTAATCATACTATGACTTTTTTAAATGTCACCCCAAAGTTACTGAAGCAATCAATAGAAAGAATAGAAAGTTTCTCTAAAATAAGAAGTTAAATTTCTCTCCAATATCAAGGAAGGATGTTTGTCTTCCTAAGTCTTTAGAAGGGCTAGTGTAACGACCCAAAAATTATTCAGAAGCTAAACCCAGTAGTAAGCTAAAACAAAGCCATAGTTAATCATAACTCTTTTAACCACAATAAATTTCCTTATTTGGCACTTACTCATAAAATTTATTTTGGTTATTTTATGGCTGCATCTAACCTCCTTGTTAGACTGCCTACGTACCCTCAAGTGAGATCAAGCCATTCATAGTTCACCGTCATAATTAAACTGTTTACTATAATATTCAAATGTTGGACATTAATGAAACTAAGTTCGAACTATGGAATTTCATCAAATGGATGTCAAATATAGAATCAGATTATCGAATGTAGTTTAAAAAGGCCAAGTCGGCCCACTGGCCATGCACCGCCACACGCGGTGGTTTTCCACGAACAAAAAACAAGATTTCTGACCAACTCTAAAAATTACCAAATTTCACAAGATTGTAGAACACACCACAAGGAAGAGTTTTCATACATGGGCTGAAGTCCAATTCGGCCAGGAAATGGCCTGAAAACGCCACGATTCGTTGGAGACCCTAAAATGAGTGTTCTTCGATTTTTCGAATCCACAGCTTCGCCACCCCCAAACTTGTCTAGGCTTTGTTTCTGGTCTCAAGAGGAGTTGACTAAGGGTGGTGGTCGACTGCACTACCTTAAAAAATGGTGGATAGTCGCCGAATCCCCCATAGTGCCGTCTGTGAGATCCTCACAAAATAGAGACAAAAAACTCTTGGACTTG